TTAAAAAATAAAATAACAAAGTTACGATATTTTCACCTGTAAAATTGGCAATTAGTGAATAATTTAACAATACTCCACATGGGTGCAGATGTAGAAATAGGAAGGCTTTACAATATGCAGCAATGTTTATTATCTGAGTCATTTATCCTGATCATAAATTACAAATTTGGAGACAAAAATACCATGGCTTTTTGATATCTCTCAGATTTCTCAATAAACTTCTGTGGCAAATGTTTCCTTATTTTCTATAAGTTTCAGAGAGTTTGCACATGGTACTAAGACCATATAATAGATATAATAGACTGTCCATAGAGTGAACATTATGTTGTGATGGTCCCACTTCAGATGGAGTTCAGAAAAACATAGACCAGTTAAAGGACATCATAGTTGTACTGGATTCATTTGTATTTCACATTTATCATAAACATCTCAATAACTTTCAAAGGTTTGTACTACCCACTAAATTTAGTTTTCGAAGGGTGGACCAAAATATCAAGACAGAAATCAGGCAAAATTCAATTAAGCTAATCCAAGTGCTAAAACATTTATGTTGCTATGAGACTCCTGTCTTTGTGATAATTAGAAAGAATACACATGCTATGTAATCTTGTTCAGTTGTTTAACATGAGTCTTATTTTTGTCTTTCCAGTATGCTAGAGATATTGTTACAAAACTCAAAGGCATTTGAATCTTGACGTACTCAATGTTGTTTTCAGTACAGATAAAACTTTTTCTCTCTTCTCTGTCTCTGTCTCCCTCCATTCTTCTTGAAACTCTATGCTAACATTTTCCCCACTCTGTAATAATAAACAGTCCATCAAATATCAGGTTACTTGCTTGTAAGTTTTATGGCTTAATTTTCAATTAGGTACTCTGGTGATATTCAGGTGTAGACAGTCATACCTACTTCTATGTAACAATACTGTCATGGTTTTACTGGATTTTACTGCTTAGAATTCCATCAATGAAGATGCTGATTCAAGTAAATGTATTCTTTGCATTTGGAAAAAATGCTGAGGTGAATGTTGAGTAGGAACTAATAAATGCCATTTATAATTTCCTAACACTTGAAATTAAGATAGATTTCCCTTTATGGGCTAGTAATGTATATTCATTATATTGAAAAATAGACATGTAGTTACACTTAATTAATTTATCTTTTCTTTTTTGTCTACCAGTAAATTTGGAGATTGACACTCTCACTTAGCTTTTTGATGCAGAGCTTTTTTTTCCATTTGAGCCACACCTCTACTTCTTACTTTTGCTGATTAATTGAAATTAAGAGTATCATGGACTTTTCTGACTGGATTAACTTTGAACCTTGATCCGTAAACACTAGCCTCTTGAGTAAAGGAGTACAGGAATTAGCATCAGCATCTAGCTAAAAATCCATCTTTAAATAGTTTGTTGATTAAAATTGGTTCTTATTTCCAAGTTTATATTCAAGCTTGTAATTTTCAAATACTATATATTCAATATTACTTTCTTAGACATAAACGCAAGACAGTGCACACATTCTGGAAAAATGTCACTGAAGAATTGTCATTATAGGGGCTGGGAAGGTGGCTCAGTGTTAGAGCACTTGCCTTGCATGCATGAGGCCCTGGGTTCGATTCCTCAGCACCACATAAGCAAAAAGAAAAAAGCAGGAAGTGGCGCTCTGGCTCAAGTAGTAGAGCGCTAACCTTGAGCTGAAGAGCTGAGGGATAGCACCCAGGCCCAGAGTTCAGGCCCCACGACCAGGCTCCCCCCACCAAAAAAAAAGAATTGTCATTATAGTTCAGATTATTGAGTTCATCTTGCTGTAAGCATCAAGGTGTAAACTATGTCAAGGACTTGAACCAGATATTGTTATTGACAATGAGACAACAGATACCCAGAATTCAAATGCAAAGTTCAAATGTGCTCCGCAGATGGTAAAATAAGTGGATGGATGAGTATATCTTGGGAGAAGTTGTCATAGTTCTGTCCAACACTTGAGATGAATGACCTATGAAACATGGCTGATGTAAGGCAGGAACAAGTTGTTATTTTATTTAATTTTTTTCTGTTGGTCGTGGGGGCTGACCTCTGGGCCTGGGTACTGTCCCTCAGTTCTTTAGCTCAAGGCTAGTGTACTACTACTTGAGCCACAGTGCCTCTTCTGGGTTTTTTTCTGCTTATGTGGAACTGAGGAATTGAACCCAGGGCCTCATGCATGCAAGGCAAGCACCCTCCCACTGAGCCAACTTCCCAGCCCCTAAGTTGTTACTTCTAAAGGTAGTCTCTTCTTATAGCTTTGGCTTCTAGATTCTAACAACCATCCATTCATGTTTGAGTCAGGAGAGAGAAAAGGCAGAGAATACTCACAAAGACAGTAATCTTCAAATACTAATAGGCATTATAGGATGAATTAATAAAAAAATTTTAGGAAGTAACATTATGTTAAAATGATATTTCTTTCTTTGTAGATCCAGAGTCTATGTAGAACCCAGAACTTACTATCAGATTATAATATCTTCACTGTTCTATAAGTTATGGTTTAGTAAAAAAAAGTAATGAATTTCAAATCATGGTAATGAGTTTCTTGTGTGACTGAAAATGTCATCCAGTTTCCTCATTTGTAAAATGAGAGAGGGAAATTTTAAAAAAATACTGTATAACTATTAATTTATTTTTTCTGTTCCATAACTCTATTATTAAATAATTACTACATGGTAGTCTTTTTTTCTGTAGATATAATAGTAGCACTCTCATTCAGATGTTCTTCAGATGTACTATTTTCTATCTATAAGTTCCATGAAATTAGTCATTCTTTCCTCTTATTCATTGATGTATCACAAGCTCTTTAAGGTCTAGTAAAGGCATTCCATATTTGTTAGATGAATGATTAAATTCATATCAAGGGCTTAACATAGTAATTAGCATAACACATTTCTAGGTGGACCTACTAGAAATGTGGTTCTGATAAATGGTTTTTAACATCACTGTGCCATTTTATGAACACAGTTGGAGGAAATAGGAGAAAAGTTGAAGGAGATTGAGTACTATGTTATCATTTCCAAGTATATAAGAGAGAATCACATTACTGTGAAAGAAAAAAATATGAATCGAGACATAAAATTACAAGGAAATTTTGTTTGGTTTTACAGAGCTACAGGGCCTTGAACATGCTACATTAATGGTCTACATTGAGCTGCTCCAGTATGAGAGACATATTTTAAATAACCAGAATGGGAAGATTTTTCTAACAAAATTGGTGAAAGATGAAATAAGTGTGCATTATTATATAACTAATCAATAAAGGACTAACAAATCTAACTCAAGGTTATAAATTTACTTTCGATGAATTAAATGACTTGGGAAAAATAATTTTCTGTATTTGGCATATTCAAGGATACAAAAGGGTATACCATATAGAATTTAGACTTTGAATTTTTACAGGGAACAATAAAATAATTGATTGAAAATAGCAAATACAGTAAATATGAATCTATTTCTTATTGAATAATGCCAAACTAATTTCTTGCTATGTAATGCTGGCAGCAGAGAGGAACAACATAATTCTTTATCCCGCATCAGAAAATGCAATAGTGTGGGATGATTCTTCCCAGGGAACCACTGTCTTTGGAATAGAAGGGTATTGTCAGTGGGTTTGTTCTTAGGTTTTACCAAACAAACTGACACATCATTCTTCCAAAGTAAGAATTCATTAGATAAAATGTGGACCACTGGTATCATTTTCATAAAAAATTATATGGCCTCATACCATAATGTCTCCATAAATCTACTGCCATCAAATCAGACAAAAAGAATTAGATACATAAGGTGACTGTCAGAGAAATGTATCTAAACAGAAGCTAGTCAATTAAGCACTTGAGATAATTTTTTTAACAATCCATAAGAAGTTATTATCAAGTTAGATGGTCTGTCAAGTGTGGACAGAATTATTAGAAAGACAATGTTTTCTAGGATGTTTGCTATTATTCATTGACTTCACTTATTGAATAAATAGATGTAATACAGGACAACTTCCTAAAGATATAGAGTGGAAGAACCTTACTTGCTACTGATAAATTCTCCAATGTAAACTTCACATATATATTCCAAACGATAATAGCTTCTACTGATTGTGATGGTTAATCTTTTGTATGTATTTGCCTGGGCCATGAGTATTCAAGTATTATGGTAAACATTAAGGCCTATGTCTTTGAGGATGTTTTAGATGACATATGTGAATCAAGAGATTAAGTAAAGCAGATTCCCATCCCCACCCTGACTTCTTGTGGATGGGCCTTATCTAATGAGTTGAAGATCTGAACAGAACAAAAAAACCCAGTAGAAGGGAACTCTTCTTGCCTGTGCACATGACATAGGACATAGATCTTGTTCAGCCTTCTGACTTGAAACCAAACACTGGTTCTTCTGGGATTTCAAGCTTGCTGGCTTCATCTGGAATTCAACATAGTCAGCAATCACAGTTCTCAAGGCTGTACTTGGACTGGAACAACACTTAGGCTCTCCAGAATTTATAGATTGGTGAATGTAGACCTAATGAGTTCACAGCCTCCTTAATCACATGAACTCATGCCATATAACAAACAACATAGAAATACATGCACATTATATGCCTTGTTTTAATTCACAAACTCCATGATTTCATATTATAAAACAATGGTAGGCATTCTCAAAAATCAGTTTCAAAAGCATCACTAATAAATCTGGTTCATATGCATTTCTCAACATAAATACTCAACTATTTAAGATTCCATCCCATTTCTTCCTTTTTGGGGACTTCACACATCATCTTTGTGTGTTTACTCCTATTATGATTCATCATTTTGTAGCATATCTATTTATTTTTCCATGACTCTGTGCAGGCACTGTCATTTGATTATTTTCAAGCTCTATTTCCATTACACAGATTAAAATTCTAAAACAACAAATATGCAAGAATTTCACAACCAAGATACCCTAGGATGTTGCAAAATCCCTAGCATTAACTGTTCATTGTCACTTACCTGCCTAGAAGCAGAAATTCTCCCGCTAGACCCAGGCGCCTCATGGCCATCAGCAGACCTCTCACTGTCATGCCCTCACAGAAGCAGGCTACCACCCGAGCTTTAGGCAAGTGACTGGTGAGCTTCTTCAGCAGCTTGTCAAAGCTCTGCTCCCCTGCATTGCTGTAGATTTTGTAGGAGTGGGCGATGCAGATACCTTCTTTGGCTGACATGTCTTTGAATGCCTCCATCCCACTCTCTCCATAGTTGCCTGTGTGAAGACAAGGATAAGCACAGGGATGGTGAGATGAGATATTTGCATGGATTGGGTAGAATCAGAATGCAAGAGCAGCAGAAGCATGAAGATCAATAGATGGTGCTGGATCTGGAACCTGACCATCTGAATTGGAGCTTTGACTCTTTTACTGACTTGTGTGTTTTGGACAGATTGTAATTAACTACATTAGAAAGATGTTTTATATTTTTATTGTGACAGTGAATAATATAAAATTGCAAGCAATTCAGCTCCTATTTTGACAGGGAATGTTCATATTGTTTATTTTACCATGATTTCTTTTATTTTACTATTTTTAAATTAAATTTATTTTTTGCTAATAGAGAAAACCATAGAAATCATAGGTATATAAATGAGGTAACATAATGTATCATGTGATAAACTCTTAGATTCTACATATGATTCCGGTCATGTATTTTCTTTCCATGCCTTACCTATTCCACTTAATGCTCTCCAGTCTAAACAAGTTTCATGAATTTCTTTCTTTCTTGACTGAGTAGTACTCTATTCTGTGTGTATGGCATGTTTCCTTGATTAACATCAGTTGGGGACCATTTACTGACATTTGCAAAGAGTGCTTCAATGAACATACATAAACACATCTTTTCATTATACTAATTGATTTCCTTCTTATGTGTACTCACAGACAGAAGATATCTATTGGGATTTTTCCCCTGATTTTTTTTCTCATTTCCTTTTTGTTTCTTGTTGTATGATAATTTCACATCACTGCTTAAAGTCTGCATGCTGTATTATCCCCAAAAGTACAAGTACTGGAATTGCGATCTCTAGTATGGCCATGTTGAGATGGTGGAAGCTTAGAGGTAGGGTACAATAGAAGGTACAGAGTTATGGGAACTCCATCCACATGAGTTGATTGATGATGTCTGTGGCAGTGGGTGAGGTCTACTGAGAGGGAATTATTTGCTGTTGGTTGGTATAAAAAGAGCAAGCTTGGCTCCTTCTTAGTGACTTGTTTCCATGTTCTTACACACATTTTTCTGATGTTCTTATACACATCTTTCTGAGTATACTGGTTGCCTATCAATTTTCTGCTCATATATAATAATCCAGACACCAGCATCCATGTTATTTAGTCTTTCTAGTTGTTAGAATAAACTGACATTATACATTATACATTATCTACCATTAGGTGGCCTAACATACATGTACATACATATGTACATGTACATACATATATATTTATACATGCATATATACTGTCTTTAAATATAAATATCTTAGTTGGGTATGTTAGGTTATTTTGTGTAGTTATAATAAAACAGTATATAGTATATATAGTATATAGATGTATATCTATATAATATATAGTTATGTAGAGAGATATATAATATATATAGATATCTATCTATATATAGATGTATAGCTATATAATATATTATATGTATTATGTATTACATATAAATATATACATGCATTTTTGCATATAATATTTTTATAATATAAAATTTGTGTGGCATACACAAATATTTTAGAAAGAATTTTATTATATACTGCATTATAGATTTTATATTACATATTAATCATCATGATATTTGTAACTTGGTATCAACTGAAAAACTCAAATGATTGGTTGAACTTTATCCTAATTATCGATGTATAAACCCATAAAAAACACAGCCTCAATTTGTGTAATCAGAGGAAAGTTAATATTTATGAATAATGATAGTCCTTGTCAAAACTTGAAGGTGAAGGACTCTAATGTTTATCTTTTAATATTAATATAAATGAATATTCATATTGACAACTACATGCAGGAGGCAGACCAAAATTTTTGTGGATGTGATCTCACTTAATCTCTCACAGTATTTTGAGGAAGACATTATAGCTCCCATTCCACAGATAGTACCAACATGTCAGCTAACTCACATTTGCCCAGGGTTACAAGTGCAAGTATCAAAGAAATACTGCAGTTCTGATGGTGCAGGTCCTGTCCTTCTTCCTCCCCTCTTGTGCAGCTCACTGGCATACTCTCAGGAGTCAGCCTAAATCTATCTGCAGTTCTCCTTCTAACATAAAGGTTCTGGTGCTTCAGCTTTAGATATTTTTGAACATTTTAAGGCTCTAGAAATCATACAAGGCTCATTTTCTGAAGTTTTGAGAAGATCAGATGATGGGCTAGGAAGGATGATTTAGAGAATGCAAGAATCTTGTAACATAATCATAAGAAGAATGGAACTGGCTTAAAAATTTGCTAAATCTAGGAGATGGAATGTCATCCAGAGAAGTAAACACTAAATACCTAAGAAATACTCTGCATCCAATTTCATAGAGTTTTTAAGTCTATAACTTATTAATAACCACATGTGGGTAACACTTTAATTTGGGAACATTAGTCCATTTGGTCAAGTGTATAACTACGCTAAAGGTCAATCTTACTTTCCCCTTGTCACTGATGAAACTGAAGTTCAGTCACATCAAGTAGGTAGGTAACCGAGTCTCAGTTTGAACCAGCATCTGCCACAGCAGGGATCCCACCTGCAACTGTGATCCTCTGGAGGAATTTTGTGTAGTTCTGTCTACAATGATGAACTGCAAAATTTGAGTCCCACTCCAGAACACTGTGAACACAGCTGCCACATTATCCTTTTTCTCTAGAACTAAAACAACAAAAAGCATCTGTGATGGTGGAAGGTGGGATAATCCGGTTCTTCTGCAATTTACAAAGTGTAAAGGGTACTTTCTGTAAAGTCTGCTCACAGGCCTAAGTCACTATCGAATCATATTGAAACAGAGAAGACAATTTGGTTTTTAAAGAAACACAAACTTATTAAGACATCAGTGGCTCAAGTCTGTAATCCTATCTACCTCAGTGGCTGAGATCTGAGGCTCATGGTTTAAAGCCAGCTCAGGGGGCTCTTATCTCCAATTAATCAACAAAAATCCATAACTGGAGATGTGGGTCAAGTGGCAAAGTGTCAGTCTTCAGTCTTCAGTGAAAAACCTAAAGGACTGCTCTCAGGCCCTAAGTTCAAGTCTTAGTCTCAACATACACACACACACCCACACACACCAAGTTAACTTTGGAAAGTCTCTTTAATCTCAGCTTTCTTAAGAAAAACAGAAGTCATATTCCTTAATGCTTTGGTATTTTGTATGTTATACTTAATTTATGCCAAATAGCTAGTGAGTATCTTAGATCCAATCACTTGTGTTTTGGGGGTTACAAAGAATATTCTAGACCAAATTCAGCTAGTCTTTCTTGGAACAGCCATAGCAAAAATAAAGCAGATGGCATTATTGTTGAAAACAATGCTGAAGAATGAGCTGAAACTAGCATTAGGAAACATCATCAACCTATGGTCCTATCAAATGATAAATTAACAAAAATGGGGTATTCACAGCCAGCATGGCATAATAGTCAACATAAAAATAATGAATTTCTGATACTTAAAACAAAACTGAAATGCTATGCACTTTGTTATATACTTCTTTGCAATAGCCTGTTAAATAACTAACATATTGAGTGAAGTAACAAATGTATGAGCAGTGTAAAGGAATCATATACTGGAACTTGGTACATGAAAATATTTATTCAACTTACTATCTGACATGCATTCAGAATTGCACCAATGTGTCTCAAAGGTGACAGAGTATTGAGCAATACCAATGAGCTATACAATATTCTATTTGCAGGAGAGAATAGTATTCATACTTTTCAAAATATCTAGAAATATTACTTAAAGACTTCAATTTTCACTTTGATTAATAAGGATTTTGACAACTTAAGCTCATGTATTATTTGAAGATAGTTGCAGTTACAGTTACTATTTCACCTGCATTGCATCAGCTATAATTTGGAAGTGTCACCAAGAACTGGTCCTACAAACCACACACAGAAAACAGGAATTGCTGAAGGACAACTGTGAGTTTTCTTATAATCTAAGGGAGATCAGATTGTTTATTTCCATCTTATGTAACCAGGTGCTAAATAAAATGTTTGGGGTATTATTTTGGTGTAATATGTCAGTGGACATAATTTAATTTTTTGGTGGTTCAAATTTAATTTCAGTAATTACTGTGCTACTCTGGCTCCTCTACAGTTTTTTGAGATTTTTAAATTTTTGTGTTTTGAGATGGGTTCTCACTATGTAACTCAGGATGGCTTTCAACTACCTATCCTCCTGCATAAACCTCCTAAATAGCTGGGATTACAGGCATGCATTACCACCCCCAGTTTATTTGATGACTTTAGAAAAAATAATGAAGAATGAGAACATAGGTAAGATATCCTAGTGAGATATTTTGTGGAGTTTCTCTAGGCAAAATATCCACTAAATACAATATTTTTAAACCTTATTGTGTTGGGAAGATTATCCTAAGATGCACAATTGATACATTTACACTAAATAGATTTTTATTCTGGGGGTGTTGGGGGTACTTTTTAATTTTATTTTATTTATTCCATTGTTTTCCTGCTTTCTCCAACATATTTAAAGGGAAGAGCTTCAATACTGTGCATAGATGCTGAGTCATAACAATCGTTAATAAAACTTTACCAACAGTGATGGTTTGGAATCTTATTTCTTACTGTCCCATTTCACAAGCATCTTAGTTGCTTCTCTGTATCCATGTGTGCCTTTTACCTGGTGTATTTGTGTTTTGCTAAGCTGAAATTTTCCTCCTTCTTCCTAGTTCCACTCAATTGCCCACAGCTTAAACTCTATGCTGTAGATGTCTCTTTTCCATAATGTCACGGAGAGAAATCTTTAGGAAGTACAAGTTGCAATCATGAGTACAGGCCTGCTACTAGCAATGTTCCCACTGGGATTGTCCCCAGTGTACTAGTAGCACTCTCACAATATCAGAAATGGTAGCAGACATTTATCCTTCTTAGTGTATTGATTTGTTTATAATACTGAGAAGCAAACTTTCTGTGACTTAAACTTTCTTGGAAAGTTTGCAATTGAGGTCTCTTTATGTTTATGACAAAACTGATCACATTTATTGTCTGA